CAAACCCAGGTCGGCCGTGTGCAAGATGAATGCCCTACTTATTGTACTACCATTCTGGCCCCACAATACACTATTTTCATTAGAAATTATTCATTGTTTTTATGACTACATATAAAGAATATCAGAATAACATTCTGTATATTCTCTTTGCTGTTTCCACGTCCAGTGGTACTCAAGGGGCTATTCCTGGCTCTGTGCTCAGGGATAACTCCTGGAGCATATGCAGTGCGAGCTAGGGATGGAGTGAGGGTCAGCTGAAAGTCCTGCAAGCGCCTTAACCCTGTGCTCTCTCCTGACCTGGGATGGGATTTGGAGCACCTTTTAACTTCCATTTTAAAACTTGCTTAAATAGTCGTATGTTACTAATACAGGTTTTTTTTTTTTTTAAACAAAGTTGAGGGTACATAAAATGGAAATAAAATCATTTTAAGTTCAGGGCACATGGAGAAGGTTCCCTAGGGGATTGAAGGGTGGTGAAAGAAAAGGAAGACTGAGGCTGAAGGCATTTTGGGTAGGCAGAGGTCAGTTGCTGCACCACAGTTTATATTCTAATTGGTCAAAAATTCTGTGCTATGGAATAAGGTTATTTGATCTTTGTTTTAGGAAAGGCTAAGGACAGTTTTGGAGAGTTTGGGGACTTGGGAGAGAGAGATCAAATGATAAAGAGTATTTGTGATATTAATTTAGACAAAATGCAGTTGAGCTTCAAATCTAATACCACATAATTTCTCTATCTTGGCATAAATGATAATGAATTTTATCTAGAATTCTAAAGAGGTGAGAATAAAAAAAAGTTTTATTACTTGTTTCATAGGGTTGTCATGAGAAGTAAAATGTACAGTTTAAGGGCCTGGCATCATGCTTGGCATATGATATACAACCAATAAATGTTTTTTGTTATTATAATCTTGTGACTGCTATCATTGCTTATAATAAGATTTCCATGACATGTTCTCTATTTCCTGGCAGTGCTAGGTGACCAGACAGTGCTGGAGATCAAACCTGGGTCTCCTGTGTGGAAAGTGTGTTCTCCAGCCCCGTGAGCTCGCTCCCTGGCACCATCTCCTCTGTTTTGCTGATTTTTAGATAGATGGGAGAGGGGGCAGGTTCGGGTTACACCTGATGATGCTTAGGGATCACTGCTTGGCTGTGCTTTGGGGACCAAATGGGATACTGGGGGTTGAACCGGGTCAGCCACATGCAAGACACTTGCCCTACTCACTGTACTACTTCTCCAGCCCCTAGATCAATACTCTCTTTTGGGGGACTTTGGATCACACCCACCAAAAGTCAGGGGTTCCTCCTGGCTCTGCACTCAGGAATCACTCCTGGCTGTGCTCGGGGGGACCTTATGGGATAGTGGGGATCCAACCCAGGTCAGCTGTTTGCAAGTTAAACCCCCTGTGTGCCCTCTATACTCTCACTCCAGCCCCTAGATCAACATTCCTTAACAGTTTACTTGAAGTGTTATATTTCCCTGCCCCAGTACTTTTTCTTTCCCAGAAGTGACTGGGTTTTCTGTAATGAATTGTATTTCCGTTTCCATGCTGTTTATTAGTATTGCAGATAAACATCCCCTAATTTTCGGTTTTCCTGAGGATTTTACTGATGTTCTGTACACCTCTGTTTTGCTACAATATTTATTGCTTTACTAATGAGGTTATTGGTAACTTATAGTCTTAACCTTTTTAGTCGAAGTTTTGGCCTGGGGGCCATATCTAGAGGCTCTCAGAGGTCACTCTCAGTGGTGCTTGGGAGCTACTCTATGGTCCTGGGGTCTACCCAAGCCTCCTCTTGCAGAGCATGCACTCCAGCCCTTTGAGCCATCTCTCGGGACCCAAAGTTAACCCTTTTTTTTTGAAGATAGAGGCTGCAGAGATAGTTTACATGGCTGGATTGCATGCACACCTTGCTCTTCATTATGCCCAGTGCTGCTTGCCCCCTTTCTCTTCCCCTAGCCCAGTACCACAGGGTGTAGTCCTAGTGGCCTCAGAGCAATGCCACCACCACACTGCAGGACCCAAGCAGCTAATCACCAGACCTAGCACCACCAGCTGAGTATCTCTGGGATTAATTTACCCCTGGTCTTTGGGGAGCCCCTCCCCCCCAAAGAGGAATATTAAGGCTTGGTTTCTAAAATAGACTCCCACCTTTCACTGACTTGGAACAAATCACATAGCATCTCAGACCTTTATTTCTTTATCTGGAAAAGGTACGAATCGAATAAGAGTACGTAGAACTGCTAAGGAAATTGCAAAATGTCATATAAATGATAATTGTTATTAGAAGTAATCTTAATTTCCAGAAATTATGCTCTTCTATTTTGGAGAAGCCTTATTCTAAAATTCTAGTTCTTCATTACTGCATTAGAAGGCACTTACACAGAAATCATAGTATGATGACTCAGTTTTATCAAAGCCTTCTTTGTCTGTTTTAGAAACTCATTTTTAATGGTAGCTTTAAAAAAATCCGTGAAATTTTGAGTTTCTTAACAGGACTATCAAAGTTTCTTTTTCTTTTTTTTAAACAAATTGCTTTTGCAATAATTTGTATTCAGAATAACTTCTGAGGTTGAGTTAGTGGAGCACAAATTCTCAAGGTGAAAATCTTAAATTGAACTCTCTTTTACCTAATAAGGAATGGCTTTTTTTGGTTCATGTAAGTGTACGTATTTGAAATGTGCTTTCATGCACATTTATGAATACATACTGCAAGTTTTTTATTCCAAGTTATAGCTAAATATATGACATTTTGTAAGATCCCAAACCATTAGATATTTTAGTCATCAAAGGTTTTTATCTTTTGTTTACCCACTAATATATGCCCCAAAAGGTAGTCTGAACTTGTTCTTTGTTAACACAAGGACATTTGCTTTTCCAGTATCTGTTAGAAACAATTTTGACAAACTTGCCAAAAGAGGCCAAGTTTTATCAACAATATCAGGCTGTTCGGAGATGAGTTCTTTAAAGATGTAACAGAGTTTTCCAGGACTCTCCTGCCAATTTTGGGTGATCTTTAAGATACCTTAGTTAAAATTACAAAATCACAAATTCAGAAAATAACATTGGTTCAATCAGCTTGGTGTATTATAAAAATATTTAGCTTTGAAAGAGTAGTGAGCACACATTAGGCCAGGAAAAAGGCATAGTAACGAGTCTCTACCACTTGCCTCGCGACACACCATAGTGAAGTACTTCAATTTAATGATCAAACTTTGGGGAACCTGTTTGATTTTTTTTTTTTAATCTACAAAGAGTTTAACCAACTTGTCTCTCTTAGCATTTGACTTGCCATCCTTGTCCTGGATTGGCTAATTTTTTTTTCTAGTTCCTCAAGCTCTTTCTAGCCAGTTTACCATCTCCCACTGGTCACCAGAACCCTTGCCCTGCTTCATATTCCCAGTTAAAGTCCTCAGCCATGCACATCTCCAACTTCCTGCATTACAACCTTCCTCCCTTCCATAAACATAATATAGCTGCTTCCTTCTCTCCCCTCTCAGGCCTCAGCAGGCTAGCGTGTTTCTCTTCTTGGTTAAGGAAGATGCTTTTTTACCTCTGAGCCTAATTTCATCCCTTCTCCCCATTCCTTAAAGAACTTCAGGAATTTGTCCTCTGACTTTAGCCTCACTTTCTTTCCTATTTTCTCTAAGAGCTGAAATGTACAGAAAAGTCCTTAATTCTGCAGTGCATACTCATTCGTGCTTCTCTGTTTTACATTTTTACACTTCTTAAATTCAGACCTTCCATTGAATCCCCAACCCACTTTGATCTGACACCGTGCGATCTTTACTTACACAGCTTTTCGCCAGGAACTTCAGCAGCTTCCTGATAACTAGTCACTGAAGACATTCCTCCTTGACTTGCATGAGGGCCACATTTTTGCCATGGGCCTTACTAAGAATTCTTAGAATTTTTAACTCTCAGGTTTTTTTGTGAACTCTTTTTAAGTTATGACATCCCCGAGGATGTCCTCGGCCCACTCTTCTCACCCTGCAGGTTCTTCCTGATGATCTGAGGGTTGCGTTAACTCACAGCTGAAGAGTCTCAAAGTTTTCACACGTAAATGTCCAGCAGTTGAATTCCCATGTCAGTGATTCATTATATTATTGGTTCATCCATATTTTGAGTGTCTATCATTTCCAGGCCTTCATTTAAAAAAGACTAATGAAAACACAGGCTCTGCTCTGTTAGTGGGAACGATGGAAGGGTAAAACCCAGATAATGACATTACAATGGATTGTATTGTTCGAGAGAAACAAGCAAAAGGTTCTGAAGGCACAAAATGATAGAAACAGGCACCAACTCCGAGGACTTTAGGATTGCTGCCCCATGGAACTTAACACACATCCTTTTTCTCATTTATCTTAGTATCCTTTCCCTGTAGCTCAATGACCTAAGTGAATCAGAGACCCCTTTGTCATGTTCAGTTTTTAGCTGGGCACCAGTTTCTCCTCATTTTAGTCCAAAGATAAAACTCAAGTTGCCACTTGCCCATTTGTGTTACCTCTGTCCTGATTTGAAGTATGATTATCCGTCACCTGTATTATTTACTCATAAGTAGTCCTGCTTTTGTCTTGGTTCCTTTGAATTCATCTTTCTCAGGGCCAACAGAATGGTATAGCAAAATGATGCTCTGACCTTGTTACAACCCTGTTTAAAAGGTTCTGCTGTGTCTGGTCAGACTTCCTGGGAGACAGCGCTAACTCTACATCTATATCAGTACACAAGCCTGAATCTGTACAGCTGCTGTGCTGGGACCTGGGCATTTTTACGTTCTGGCGCCTAAACAGGTTGAGAACCATCGGCATCCTAGAATTAAGTCTGAGCCCCTTGCCTTTGTGCACTAGACCCTCCATGATGTGGCTTTTGCTTAGCAGTTGGCCACATTCCTGTCTACTTGTCTAGGTAGAATCATCTTATAAATCAATGTAGAGCTTACATTAACTAAAAGTACGTAAATAACTGCTATTAATATTTGTAATACGTATCTTGTCTCTTCAGTGGATGATGCTGGCAAAATAGAACATGACGGTTCTTCTGAAATGACCATGGATACTGAGTCAGAAATTGATCCTTGTAAAGTAGATGGCACTTGTCCTGAAGTCATTAAGGTGTACATTTTTAAAGCTGACCCCGGAGAGGATGACTTAGGTAAGAGAAAACCTTCAGCCTATTATATATCCTGATCTAAATGCTTTAACCCTGATTACTTTGGGGGTGTTTCCATTGAGAACATTTGAAATCTTTTCTGATGATGTATTAATTAGTTGGGGGTGTTGGGGGTGATCAGGCCTGGGTGTCAGGTGTGCAAAGCTGTGCTGCTGATTCACGTTCGCAGTCTGAGGATACTTCTAAGCAAAGATTCTGATGTAGCAATAGAAAAGTATGTAAAATGTAAAGATGAAATAGATGGAAGTGAAATTTTCATACACATTCTTGGAGCTGTCATCTTTCCTTGTAGGTGGCACCGTAGACATCGTGGAGAGTGAACCCGAGAATGATCATGGAGTTGAGTTACTTGATCAGAATAGCAGTATTCGTGTGCCGAGAGAAAAAATGGTTTATATGACTGTCAACGACTCTCAGCAAGAAGATGAAGATTTAAGTAAGTAGGTGGCCTTTTTGTGGGAGAAAATTGTCTGTTCCAGTAGCTTTTTTTTCCGAAATGGCCAATGCTTGAAAGAACCAGGTAGTGTTATTGTGGAGATATCTTCATTAGTTTTTGTTTCGGGGGCCACACTGGATGATACTCAGTGCTTCCTCCTAGTTTTGCTCAGGGGTCACTTTTGGCAGTACAGGGGGACCATATGCAGTGCTGGATTGTACTTGGCTACGGTTGGCCAAGTTCAGTGCTGTGGCTCCTGTATTACCTCTCTGGCCCCATTGTAGAGATTATTATGCTGCCATATTCTAAAGGAAACATTAATGACTCTGTATACTTAGGATACTGTATTAAAAACAAATGACGAGAAAGCCGACAAGTGACTCCTTTGTTCAATAAATTTATTGGCTGCTTGCTATGTAAACACTGTTCTGTTTATATAATCTGAACCTTTTCTTCTAATGACCTATTACATGAATTCAAATGAAGTATATTTCCTTTGATCTCTGTAAATCTGGTCTCAAAGACGGGTATGATTTCCTACTTAGATGTTGCCGAAATCGCAGATGAAGTTTATATGGAAGTGATCGTAGGTGAGGAGGATGCAGCTGCAGCAGCGGCGGCGGCTGCTGCACACGAGCAGCAAATAGATGACAATGAAATCAAAACCTTCATGCCCATAGCGTGGGCAGCAGCTTACGGTAAGTCACCTAGCCGCTCTCTGGGCTGATTGGTTCTTGGACGTAACATTAGTTTATGATTGAAAAGTGATTTCTGTGGTCTTAAATTTCAGAAGTCTGAAACATTGGTACTTTACAAGTGTTGCTTGATTCAAACAACAGTAGCTTATAAAGTTTACTTTTTGCATGTAATTTCGACTGGAATTTTCTTTATGTATGTATATTACTTAGAAGGAAGTAATACAAGAAGTATGCAGACTTTTGAGCCGAAAAGTTGTGTTTTATGTTATTTTTAAATTGAGGTTTTGATCTACACTAGTGTTGATATTTTAGGCATACAGTGCTGATTGTACCACACCCACCACCATCAAACTAAGATTTTATTTGTATTATTTATGGCCCATGGCTTTACAGTTTGGGGAGATAGCAAGGTAGTTTGAGGGGCAAGATGTTGACATGTGTTTTTTAGATTTGGAAGCTAGGCGTTTCTTCCTCTCTATATGCGCTCATAAAACCCATTACCTTAAAATGGGGAATTTCTCTCATTCATGAGTATCATGGCTTACTTTTTGTTGTTGTAGTTAATAAAGAATCCCTAATTCTTTATAATTTATAATACTGTACAATTTTGTTTTTTAATGCACACTGTTAGGTAATAATTCTGATGGAATTGAAAACCGGAATGGCACTGCAAGTGCCCTCTTGCACATAGATGAGTCTGCTGGGCTTGGCAGACTGGCTAAACAAAAACCAAAGAAAAGGAGAAGACCTGATTCCAGGCAGTACCAAACAGGTGAGGGCACACGAGTTCCACAGCGCAGCGTGCTTTGCGAGCTCTCCTATGAAACGCTAGCGTATATCCACAGAGGTGTTGTAATGGCATTTAGCTGCTAGACCACATGTAGATTTTGTGTATTTAATTTAAAAGCATGATTTCAAGAACTCAGTGATATTCATGAATGATGTCCTTGGGTGAAAAAGAACCAGGATGGATCAAACGTGGATTAAAAAATGTTTAAACTTGGGTGATTTTAACGTGGAAATTAAAAAAAAATCCCTTCAATTGTTGCCAATATTAATGCTTTGAAAACCTAAATTAATATATTCATCAGTGGTAGAGCACATGCTTTGTATGTTTGAGGTCCTGGGTTATATCCCTGGCACCATCCAAAGAGAAATGAATTTGTCAGCATAAAGCAGTAGGACAAGTGCTTCAGTTCATGTGACATATTCCTGCGTATTCTTGTATAAAAATTTGCATATTGAAGCTTCTGTGGCTATATCTAAACTTAAAATTAGCAGAAATTTTGATAATGCAATTTTATTTTTCATAATTTTCCTCCAGTTTCTAAATTGCTATAACTTCAGTAGCTAGATGATAACAGTTACATATTTACCTACTTTTTTTAACTGTAGGGGGTAAGGTTGTCATACTAAGCAAAGTTTCCAGGGTAGGTTCTCTTTATGATGAGATTTCTCCGTTTATGTTGAAGAGTGGCTAGAAGATGGGGCTAGAGAGATAGTAGAGTGGTAGGATGTTTGCCTTGCATGAGGCCGACCTGGGTTCTATTGGTGGTACCACATGTTGTCCCCAGAGCCCATCAGGAGTGATCCCTGAGTATAGAGCAAGGTATAATCCCTGAGCATAGCCAGGTTTGGCCCCCAAAAAGAAAAGTGGTAAGAAGAATATTAAAGAGCAAATAGCCTAACTTAGGAGTATCTGCCTTTAAATGTTCAGCAGGCACACTTTAAATTCTTAAAGAAACCCAAGCAGAACTTGACCGCTCATGCTCCTTTCTTTCTCTTTCTTAGCAATAATTATTGGCCCTGATGGACATCCCTTGACTGTCTATCCTTGTATGATTTGTGGGAAAAAGTTTAAGTCGAGAGGTTTTCTGAAGAGGCACATGAAAAACCATCCTGAACACCTTACTAAGAAGAAGTACCGCTGTACTGACTGCGATTACACTACCAACAAGAAGATCAGTTTACATAACCATCTGGAGAGCCACAAGCTAACCAGCAAGGCAGAGAAGGCTATTGAATGCGATGAGTGTGGGAAGCATTTCTCTCATGCTGGGGCTTTGTTTACTCACAAAATGGTGCATAAGGAAAAAGGATCCAACAAAATGCACAAGTGTAAATTCTGTGACTATGAAACAGCCGAACAAGGGTTACTGAATCGCCACCTTTTGGCAGTCCACAGCAAGAACTTTCCTCATATTTGTGTGGAATGCGGTAAAGGTTTTCGTCACCCATCAGAGCTCAAAAAGCACATGCGAATCCATACTGGGGAGAAGCCGTACCAATGCCAGTACTGCGAATACAGATCTGCAGACTCTTCTAACTTGAAAACGCATGTAAAAACTAAGCATAGTAAAGAGATGCCATTCAAGTGTGACATTTGTCTTCTGACTTTCTCAGATACCAAAGAGGTGCAGCAACATGCTCTTATCCACCAAGAAAGCAAAACACATCAGTGTTTGCACTGCGACCACAAGAGTTCGAACTCAAGTGATTTGAAACGACATATAATTTCAGTTCACACCAAGGACTACCCTCATAAGTGTGACATGTGTGATAAAGGCTTTCACAGGCCTTCAGAACTCAAGAAACACGTGGCTGCCCACAAGGGTAAAAAAATGCATCAGTGTAGACATTGTGACTTCAAGATTGCAGATCCTTTTGTTCTAAGTCGCCATATTCTGTCTGTTCACACAAAGGATCTGCCGTTTAGGTGTAAGAGATGCCGAAAGGGGTTTAGGCAACAGAATGAGCTTAAAAAGCATATGAAAACACACAGTGGTAGAAAAGTGTACCAGTGTGAGTACTGTGAGTATAGCACTACAGATGCCTCCGGCTTTAAGCGGCACGTTATTTCCATTCATACAAAGGACTATCCTCACCGTTGTGAGTACTGCAAGAAAGGGTTCCGAAGACCATCGGAGAAGAACCAGCACATAATGCGACATCATAAAGAAGTTGGCCTGCCCTAATGCTAGACTTCTACAAACATTTGTAGAGATTGGCCTTGAAACAGAATAATTTTAAAGCCAGTCAGTCTTGTTCACAAACAATACTGTATATTGATTTATGCTGTGTACAAATAGAATTATTGCTTCTAGTTGCCTTTTTTTTTTTTACATTTTTTTTCAGTAGTGTGTTCTGAATTCTATTCAGTTTGTTTAATAAATGGGGGAAAGCAGCAACAAGTAAGTTGCTTTTAATAAAGTAATCCCTGGTTCTATATTGAATTTTTCTATCTTAGAAATTTTATATTTATTTAAATATTTACCTTGCTTACCTTGATGGTACTCTTCTAAGGCCATTTAACTTAAGGTAACTTGACATTGGTAACTTGGAAAGCATTCATGTGGCCTTGTTTATTTTTCCCATAAATTTCTCACAATAAAATTGTCAGAGACTCTACTAATATTCACAGAAGGTTTTACTATAAGAGCTAATATCCTAACATGGCAGTCATTTGCTTGTCTAGCTCAATATTTTTAGACCACATGACAATGAAGGTTTCTATTTGAGCTTTCGCGTCCTGGCTTCACTGAGTAAGGAACAGTGGCTGGGTTCGTTTTACTTTCCGTTTTGTTTAGCAGACAAAATGTACTTTTTGGGGGGATTTCTTTGAAGTATTTACATCTTTTGTCAGCATAGCAAAGTTTTAGAGAAATTTATTGAAAATTTTTGCTTGGGCCTGTTGTAATTTGATTATTCTGTATGTGCTGCTTTGTCTTGGAATGGTTGTGAGAATTAACTGAAGATTGCATTTTGGAATCTCCTAGAGGTAATTTGTGGCTCATAGAATCTTTTGCAACTTTATATATGTAAATGTACCCTGAATTATCTATATGCACATATATATATAACACATGTATCTGTGTGTATTGCTTATTTTACATATTTATACACACAACCCCAAGTAGTAGTTGTTTAAAATCTATAACGAAAGTATTAAAATTTACATTAACATGAAAGATGCAGGGATGCATGTGAGAGCATTTTATAAGTCATGCTCTTCAGAGAGACTACTCAGGTGATGAATTAGAAGGAAATTAAGGACACTAGTATTTTTAAAGAGTAAAGGTATTTTAAGTATCTTTGGTAATTGAAAAAATAGAAGTTAAGATGTTTCTAGCTAGAATGTTTTCATACAACTTCAGCTCCATGCCTTTATATTTTTCTGAAAAGTTGAGATGAGAATCCAGACAACTCCCTCTGTTCTCTCTGCAAAGTCCATGAGGGAACAACATGTGTCACCAGGTGAGGTGGACTGAGGAGGTAGCAGCTCCATGGACCAGAAATCGGGTGCTAATTCAGCAGGTTCAGCCTGATCAGTTATTTCTTGGTTACAGCCAGCAAACTTTTTAAAAAAAAATAAAAACAAAAAAACTCAGTGTTTGAGTTGGCTTTGATTAAGAAGATAAAGGTGTGTTTTAAGTGTCTGAGGGAAATCTGAGGCCTTATTTGTGGAACATCACAAAGTCTTTCACAGTTTTGTGTTTTAGAGTTGATATTTTTTAACAGGTGATTGTGAATCAGTCACACGTTCATAAAATAAACTGGGCTAATTGGAACACATTGATTTAAGTTGAATTGTGGAGAACTGAAAGTTTTGGGGTTCCCTTAACTTGGTCTGGGCACAAGAGTATCTGACATGTCGTAGGAGATTAGGACGATTCTTTCCACTTGGTAGCTACCTTGCCACTCCATTACGGTGCTCCATCCCCATTGTGCGATTTGGTTTTTATCTTGTATCTTTCTCTTTTCCATTAATACTTGTATTTAAGAGTTACAGATTAGAAATCTAAATAGTTGGCGTTTAGCAAGCCTTTGAAGTGCTCGATGAATTTATTCTAGTTCTAAATCAAATACTCTAGGCTGGTGTGAACTCCAATCTGAATGTCAGTCAAAGCCAAGGCCTGGGCCTCTCTCAGTGGGAACCCCTGATCCTCCTTGGCCCCGATAACATATTTTCTCTTTTAATTTATTACTGTATGATTCATTGCCCTCCAGTACTATTCTTGAAAGCTCTGTCTGTTTTTTTGTGAGAACTTTAAAAAATACTCCTAAATTTTTTTTCCAGAAATGTAAAAAAAACGTTAGCTAAAAGTGGACATTGATTACTTTAAATGTCCTAAATGTCCTGTAAAATTGATATAAAAGTATAAATAATTGGACATTTAAGTATATTTTTTTAAATAAACTGAAAGATAAAGAACACAACACTTTGCATACACACTTTATATTTCTCTTACATAATCTGGAATCATACACAGTTTTTTTCTTTTTAAAGCACAATATTGAAACCTTTAAAAGGTATTTAAGGGTTTGGTCAAGTAAATATGATAAAAATGTATTTGTATGTATAAAGATAAAATTGTAGTCACTGTTATGTACTGACATTAGTTACAACCTAGTTTTAATTCTTAAAACAATTTTGATTAGCAAAGCTAAAAAAAGGATATTTCAGTTAAATGTTTTAAAGAGGTACAGATTTTTACAAGGACATAATATAAGTTATTGTTCTGTAGAAATACCCTATTAAATATTGTATGTCCCACCCTCTGTATACTTTGTAAAAAAAGTAAAATACATAAAAAGAAAATCATATAGGGATGTGTGACATTATTGTAATTGTGTACTTGAGAATAACGTGCAAAAATAAAAATCAGATTATTTTCCTGTTATGAATGTTTAGTCTATTTGATACCAGTACTAAGTTAATGCTTTTTCTTAAGGAAAAAAAATGTACAGTTTTTGTAAAACCTAATAAACATCAAAAGCAGTGGATTATTTTCATTTCCCCATTTCTTAATTCCTTTTATGCAGCAGTAGTATGCAAAACGCTTGATCGCTTTAAATTTTGTGACTCAGATGCAAATACTGATAATATTTCAGCCCTGTGAATTTGCAAGTACTTTCAAAAAAGTGAAGAGGGTACTGGTGAGTTTTTTGATGAACATGCCCTTGAAATTCATTTTTAACCTTCATAAAGGATCTGTTAAATTAGCACCACTAATTCCCCGGAGAAAAATATCTAATGAATAAAGTAGTTTTTGAGAGCACTTATTTCAGTATCAATTCAGCACATTAGCCAGTTGGGATTGTTGCCATCTTCATGGCAGAAGTCCTGCCGTCCTGCCCTAGACTTACTCTTTGTGCCCAGTTTGAAGAACTTTAGTAGACACTGATATACTAAAGATTGATCGTATCACCATAAAAATGGGAAGTTAGGTAAAGGTTTCCATAAGTCCAAGAGATTTGTTTGAGTCATCTTTGATTTGTTTCCTTTGATTTAAATGAGAACCTGCTATTCTTCAACTTTGTAGGAACAAGTTGTTTCCTAATAGGTAAAACTGTAAGCAATCAAAACTTGAGGTAAGTGATCAAGAGAGCATGGTGAAATGTCAGTGTCCAGTGCCATAAACCTAAGCCAACAATGTACTGAAAAACCTAGATGCCTAACAGAAAATATCTTGCCAGTCTTATTCTTAACCAGATAGTGCTCTCTTCTCTGGGAATTTCAGTACTAACAGTTTTCTTTATTTCCATGAAATCTAGCATTTGTGCAAGGAAAGGGTGTGCTCAGTCACAATCTTAGAGGGGTAGGGTAGTTCAGAACAGTGATTTTTTTCCAAATGTGACCTGGCAGCAGCACCATCATAATCACCTGGGACTTTGTTAAGGATGCATATTCTCAGCCCCACCCCAAACCACTGAATTGGGAAACTGGGCGTATGGCCCAGCCATCTGTGTTTTAACATGTTCTCCAAGTGATTGAATGCGTTCTTAAGATTGCAAAAACACTTTAGAGCACTTGAGGAACTCAGAAGATGACTGGCACAGCATTTTGTGTAGTGGACAAGAAAAATCTTACAGAATAGTCAGTGAAAGTGAAATGGGACTTAGTTTTATATCTTCACATTACACCTTTCAGAGTGTGAGCCTGACAGTTAAGTAAATTTACCTTCATGCACATATTAATAGCCTATAGCCTGTAAGTCTTACATTGCTTTCTTCGGTTACATTCCTCACAGTGAAGCTGAATTCAGAGGAAGACTACGCAAGTAAAGGAAGAGGAGGGCTGAAAAGTGTGTCTGTTTAACCAATTGGCCCAGTTTTACGTGAGCAACAGCTGAAAAATCATTTTGCCACATGTTTAGATAAGGTCAAAGTTAAGTTTGCCCTTTTGGATTTTGTTTTATCTTTTGTGTATATGTTGTTTGCCTTTTTCATAAAACCTTGGATTTGTTATATATTGTTCCTGTTTTTGACATCTTTCTACTGTAAATAAATTCCTATTTTAAGTTACCCCAGTGGAGTGTTGGCTATAGAGAAGGTACACACAGAAATGAGATTTTAATCAATCTCCAATATGGTGCAAGTTGAAAGTGATCTGATCCCATTTAGTAATTCAGCACTACTGACACTAGTGAAAGAGATGAAAATTATTAATCCACCAAGTTTTTGGTCAAAGTCAACTATTACTTTCCTTGATTTTTCCTATTTGATCCTGTGTATTGTTGGTATTAGTGAACACAAAATATCTTTCATGACATATCCTGTTAATACATAACGCCACGTAGTATGCTTCTGAAAACCTACTTAAGAATTCTAAATGGTATTCATTATTAGTTAAATTGTCGCGGAAATAGCTAAATGTATTAACTAAAATGAAATTGGTAACCACCTATTTTACATTGCTTTCCAAGAAGCCAGTTTTTCCTTCATGCCTGTTTGACTTTAAAAGCCAAAGATTTTTGCCCTCACTTTGAAGTAAAGGATGTACTGGAGAGCCATCTGTCGAGATTTCGGAGGCTCTAACATCACCCTCTGGGTTCTAATCACACTGAAGATAGGCATAAACCCCCCCTGAATTGAGTGTATGACTTCACATGATAAAGCTGCGTTGAGAAATCGAGAGGATGAAGGTATTTACCCCCTATCGAGACTGTGGCTGATAATGAAGCCATGGGACCTGTACCTTACCCTCTTCCAACTAGAAACGGGTTAGTCCTCCATTACAGAAGAGACAACAGGGGGAGGGAAGGGCTGTTAGCACCTTGCCCAGCCCTCATGGGGAAGTGACAAGAGTTACCCTAAACCAATTCATAAAATGTGACTACTCCGGTTTTGGGGCTGAAACCATAGTACAGCAGATAAGGGAGTTGCCTTGCATATGGCTTGACCCAGCTTCAAACCCCCAAGCACCGACGGGTATGTACCCCCCCCCCCCCCAATAAAAAAAGACTACTCCAGTTCTGGGTTGCCCTCTGGCATTACTCCACTAGAAGAAGAATACGAGGATTTTCCTAGTCTCTAAATTTGTGTGTTACCTATTGATTTTTCCTGGTGACGATAGGAATTTTGGAGGGGTCACATCCTGCAGTGCTCAGGGAGATACTTGGTGATGTTGCTAAGATACTCCCTGTGATACTTGGAGCATTTGTACTGGTGCTTGGACCTGGGCCTCCTGTACGCAAAGTATATTCATTCATGCTTGAGCCATCTCCTGGCCCATGATAGACTGTTTTGATTTTGTTCGTTTCAGGGTCATCTCTGACTCTGTACTTGGCTACTTGCATCTCAGTTTTCTGGATTCCTCCTTGCAGTGCTCAGGGGACCATGCTGTGCGGGGCCTCCTGCATGCAGAGCATGCACTCATACTGTTGAGCTCATCCTGCCTGTTATGAGATCTGTGTGAGTGAGTGTGTGTGTGTGTACCTATAGTGCCAATATTACTATATTCTGCTTGCAGTGCTGCTACACCATGCCACCACCAGTGCCTGACTTATCACAAGGTCTAGTCTCCTGGCCTCCCTTACTACCCTCAGATCACATTTCTGTTGACCCTGTCTCACGTGCTTTCTACTGGGTTTGGCTAATCCCTTGCTTTCTTTGTCATTTTCTTTCTGACTCACTTCACCTGGCATGACACCCTCCAATTCCTTCCAAGTGGCAGCAAACTGCAAGATTTCATCTTTTTCCGTATTCCATTGTGTATTTCATTCTTTTTGTTTGTTTTGGGGGCCACACCTGACGGTGGTTTGTACTTGGGAATCACTCCTGGAGGTGCTCAGGAGACCATATGGGATGCCGGGGATCGAACCCAGGTCGGTCACGTGTAAGGCAAACACCCTAAGTAAAAAGTAAAGTAAAGGCCCTCCCGTTGATCATCGATTTGCTCGAGCGGGCCCAGTAACATCTCCATTGGAGACTTTGTTGTTACTGTGTCTGGCATATCGAATACTCTCGGTAGCTTGCCGGGTTCTCCGAGAGGGGCGGAGGAATCGAACTCGGGTCGGCCATGTTGGCTGCGTGCAAGGCAGACGCCCTACCCGCTGTGCTATCGCTCCAGCAAACACCCTACCCACTGTAATATTTGCTGTGGCCTCTCTCATTTTTTATCCACTCGACCATTATAGACTTAAAAAGTTAGTTCCTTTTTCTCCCAAGGCAGTGTGTTTCACTTTCTCTTCAGAAAAGACATTTTTACATTGAGATAACATTGGTTTGCATCATTATATGTTTCAAGAGTGCTTTTACATCTTTCTTTGAAGGTTAAATCACACCTGATGCCCTCCATCGGACAGTCCACCCTTGGTGACCCCAACACTCCTCCCTGCTCTGGCAAACTTCAGTAGGGTTAGTTCTGGATTGACTTAATCTAGTTACCTTGCTTTGTTTCTTTATATTGCACATATAAATGACATCATCTGGTACTTGTCTTTCTCATTGTTTACTTAATCAGCATCAGACCCTACAAGTCCATATTGTTGCAAATGGTAAGAGAAGTATACCACATCTTTTTTTTTTATAACTCCCAGGAGAGCTCAGGGCCTACTCCTGACTTTGTGCTCATGGACCATTCATGGTGCACTTGGGGGACCATGTGGGGTGCCAGTAATTGAACCTGGGTCAGCAAGTGCCTTACTGGCTGTACTATCCCCCCTGCCCCAGCATAGCACTGTCCTCCCATTGTTAATCGATTTGCTCAAGCAGGCGCCAGTAACATCTCCATTGTGAGACTTCTTGTTACTGTTTTTGGTATATGGAATACGCCACGGGTAGCTTGCCAGGCTCTGCCGTGCAGGCAGGATACTCTCGGTAGCTTGCCGGGCTCTCTGAGAGGGACGGAGAAATGCCCTACCTGCTGTGATATCGCTCCTGCCCCAGTATACCACGTCTTACCCATTCATCTGGGTTAAATCTGTTCAATCCTGTTGTGGTGCAGGGAATCAAACTCAGAGCCTCACGCATGCAGTACAAATGCTCTACTGCTGAGATATATCACTGACCTATTATTTTATTATTTTTATCTCTTTATTGAGTCTCCTGCCCCCGCACCTGACTGTCCTCACCAGGACCCCTTGGAGGGGGGAGGGTTGAGTTTCTCTCCCCTGCCCCCCGCCCACCCTGAGCAGAGCCCCAGCAGCTGAGGACCTCCGGAGCCAGCCAAGGCCATGCTGGGACCACTTTCCACATGTCCGGAGGGGCCTCATGCATAAAAGAATTGGCAGAGGAACCCAGGCATGCGGGTCCCGCATCTGAGATCTCGGATTGGGACTGGGCCTTCTCCACCCAGACCCCCATCTTCCAGTAGGTAGGCGTCACACCCATCAGCTGCCGCCAGTGCCAGGTTGGTCTCATCAACAGCCAAGACGCAAAGACTATAAAACCCAGCTTCCGGAAGCGCACGGCCGCAAATGCGGCTGCGCGACATCTTTTTATCTTATTTTTCCTTTGGAGAACCTGGCAGGCTACCAAAAGTATCCTGCCCGCACGGAAGAGTCTGGCAA